GGGTCTGGGGTCACACACCTGGAGCACCTGCATCTCCAGGCTGCTGTTGAGGATGGTGTAGATCCGGGGTCCCAGCTCCTGCCAGGCGCCCCCCACCTCCCCCAGCACTGCCAGCTCCCGGAAGGTCCGATTCACCTGGGGGAGAGGGATGAGGCAGGTCCTGGTTGAGACCCCCTCAATTCCTCCCCCAGACCCCTCACAGCCCCCACTCACCTCGGCCATGACGCTGTCAGGGCCGGGCCCGGGTGGCGTGTACAGGATCTTGCCCACGAAGAGGGGCTTGATGCCCCTCCAGAAGATCTGTGAGAAGGGGTTGGACTCCAGGCTGAGGAGCAGCTCCCGGCAGAAGGGACCTGAGGGAGGGAGAGCTGAGCCCTCACCACCAGCCCCCCATCCCTGTCCCTGCTGCCCCCCCTGCCCTGGCTGAGCCCTCCACAGCCCCCCTCAGCCCCCGCTCACTGCTGCTGCCCGAGGCCGCCGATCTCCGCTCCGAGCTGTTGCGGTCCAGGAAGGCTTTGACATCGTTGTCCTCGTACCAGTTGAGGGAGGGGATCCTGAGCCCCCCACCCTCGGGGTGACCGCAGGCGATGCGTGACAGGGCTGTGAATGCTCCCGTGCCGGGGGTGCTGCTGTTGGGGGCCCTCAATTCCTCAAGCTCCCGCCGCAGCTCAGCCAGGCTGGTCATGGAAGAGATCTGGGGAGAGCGGGATGGGGAGTGGAGTGGCGTTGCAGGGACAGGGGCACCCAGGGACAGTGTGGGGGTGCGTAGGGGGCAGGGGAAGCGGGGGGTACCTCCTCCATCAGGGATGCTGCATCCCGCAGGAAGGTACCCAAGGCTTCCACGGTGCCAGTAATTCCACCCACGTCTGAGCTCAGCTGTTCCTACAAGGGGACATGGGAAGGGAGTCACAGCCACTCTGGACGGGCCAGGAGTCTCTGCGCCGTCGCCTTCCAGCACCCGGCCAGGCTGGGAGCTCACCACCACGAGCCGTGGGAAGTCCAACTGGGAGAGGAAGGAGCCCTCCATGGCACGGAGTTGGGGGCCAGGCAGGGCACAGAGCCCTCGCTGCAGGCGCTGGGTGGAAGCGGCGTCGCCCCCCGCCAGGAATCCCCCCAGCTCCGAGGCATTGCAGACCAGGGCCTTCAGTGGGAGGCGAATGCCCGCCAGGGAGAACTGGAGGGAGAGGGCAGTCATGATGCAGCCACTGGCACCATGGGCACCGGGAGAGGGCACCGGGAGAGGGCACCACGCTGACACTCACGATGCGGGGGCTGAGCCGAGCCCCCATCAGCTCATCCACCAGCGCCGGGGCCAGAGATGTGTTGGTCCGCAGGAACCGCGAGAAGGTCTCGTCCTCTCTCAGGTATTCCCTCACTGGCAAGGCTGGAGGGGCAGGGGTCAGCCAAGGGTCTCGCTTCCCCGGCACCCCCCACTCCCGGTGCTCACCCTCCCGCTGATTCCCGCTGTCCCGGAGCCGGCGCAGGGCGGGCAGGAGCTGGGCAAAGCTGCGCAGGAGCCGCTGCCCGTCGGAGCGGAGCAGGACCTGCCGGGCTTCGGCCAGGAGGTGGGAGAGGCTGTGGGACACGGGGTGGGCAGTGAGACCCCGGCCCAGCCCTGCTCTGCCCCGCAGTCCCCCAGCCCCTCCGCTCACATGGAGCCATCGAAGTTGCCCACCACGCCGGGGGCCTCTCCCGCCGTGGGGTGTCGGAAGCAGGGGTTGTTCATGTTGCAGATGATGCCCTGGAGCCAGGACAGGGTCCCTGCCGAAGGCAGTGCCTTGTTGGGGAAGTGGCCTGCGGGAGAGGGAGGCAGGTCCAGGGGGCAGTATGGGATCCCCGGGACCCCCTCACACACCAGCGACTCCCCACGCTCTGATCACCTCCTGTGTTTGTCTCCCCTGGTGCCACCCCACAGGGCTCCCATACAGGGGCACACAGGGGGGTCCCAGCAGGCACGGGGGGTCATTACCAGCCAGAGGGTGGTCCGGCAGGGGACACTCACACTCGTGCTGCTTGAAGGGTGGGTGAGATCGTCGCACTGAGATCAAGATGAGGAAGAGGAAGAGGGGCCACAGGATCTCGATGGCCAGCTGGATCTGGGGGAGACCCACAGTTGGGGGGGATCTCTGCCCCCATCATTGCCCAGAGCTCTGCCTGCCCCTGTGCCAGGAACCAGCGGCTCAGGGTGCCCCACAGCCCAGTCACCCACTCACCCGCTGCCGCCGGCGGTAGGTGAAGTTCTTCCAGAGCAGCAGCCCCAGCTGGGTGCCCCAGCTGGCCATGGCGGGGGGCGCGGGCCCTGCTCGGCTCCGGCTGCGGGGGAGAGCAGGGGGTTCAGCCCCGAGCTGGGGGTGACTGTGGGGCCCTCACTTCCCTCTGGGTCGGGGCTTATCACAGCCCGGGCAAAGTGCCGGGCACAGGGCTGAGCCCCGGGGCTGGCAGGAGCTGGATGGCATTCCTGCAGAAAAGCTCCTTTCCGGAGCTAATGCCTCAAATTCCATTGTTTCCTGAACCAAAAGCAGCAAAATTGGGCACAAGCTCTGTCCAGGAGCCATGAGCGGGATCCGCAGCCCAGCACAGGGTGTGGCTCCAAGCCCTGGTGAGCTGGGCAGCCCGGGGGAGGCGGGGACCTGCCCGTGCCCCAGTTTTCCCACGAGAGGGGTGTGGGTGGGTGTTTCTGTGAGACCCTCAGCACCTCAGGAGGAGAATTGCGTTGGTGCAGCGGGCTCGAGGCGCGAGCTTCCACACCCGGGTCCAGCGGGTACCTCTGTGCTGGGACCCCAGAGCTTCAGTTCTGCCCCTTCCCAGCACCAGCCCGGTTTCTGTCAGCTCCTAGGAATTCACTCACCCCTGGAGAGGGGCCAGCAGCCCCCGGGCAGGACAGCAAAGCGCTGCCAAGGCGGCTCCGTGCCCAGCCGGGTGGCGGCGGCGGCGGCACGACCCAACCCGCAGCGTTCCGCCCGGTGCACCCACCCATGCCCCAGGAGAACTGAGCTCCGGGGCGGCTCCCCGGTCACCGCGAGGCCGGGACACCCCGGAACCCCCCCCTTGCTGCTCGTTTTCCCTCGGAGCCGGGGAAGCCGTGGACTCACCCGCCGACCCGCGCCCGCAGCCGCCCGCCCGCCTCCGGGGCTAAGCCGGGTCCCGGGCACAGCCGGGATAAGCGGGCACCGGGCAGCGGGATTAGAATCCTGCTGGGAAATCCGCCTAATCGGCCTGAGTGGGGGTCGGGGCCAGGATTCCTCCGGGGGTGCAGCGGGGCAGATGGGGTGACACGAGGGAATAGGGACGGCTGCCGGGGTGAGGGTGTCTAGGGGTCCCCATCCGCTGGAACCGGGGGTGCTGCGGCACTTTTCGGGACCAAACAGCCACAGAACCCCGGGATCCTCCCAGGGGGATTCGCGCGGGAATCTGCTCACTCATCCCACGAGGACCAACACCGCGTCGCTGCAACTGAGAGGAGCGGCGGATCCCCCCGCCCGCGGCCCCGCATCCCCGCCTGCGGCGCCCCTCGACCCGGCATCCCCCGACCCCGGCGTCCCTCGACCCGGTTCCGCCGCACGGAGCCCCGCTCTGGAAGGGTTGCAGAGTCACCGGGAGGCGGACGCGCCGGGGGAACGCGGAGGCAGCCCGGGGGGACGCACGGACAGCCCAGGATGGGTCATGGGAACAGCTCGAGGGGACGATGAGGACAGCCCACGGGGGAGATGGGGACAGCTCGGGGGTACGATGGGGGTACGGGGACAGCCCCGGGGGGGGCGGGGAGGTGCGGACAGTCCCGGGAGGACGCTGCACGGCCGAGAGCAGCAGCCGGGACACAGCCCCTCCTTTCCCCCCCGCAGCCCCCGGCCCGGGACCCCCGTTACCTGCTGCGGCCGCGCGGCCCCTTTAAGAGACCCCGCGGCTCCGCCGGGCGCGCGCAGGCCCCGCCCCTCCCGGCGCTACAAAGTATCCGCGGCCGTGACGTCACGGGAAGGCTCTTAAAGGGGCCGCTCAGGCGGGGGGGGGGCTCCGCCCGGACCTTCTGCCCTTCTCCCGCCCCGCCCCGCCCGTGGAAGCCCCGCGGGGCAGCGCGGCCCTCCGAAACGCAGCATTTCCCTGCAAAAAGGTGGGTCCCTGCCCGGACAGGCACGGCACGTCCGGTCCCGTCGGCACCGGTAATCCCACGTCTGTCAACCCCACATCCGTTTAACCCAGCAGCCGGTTCCCGGCTCCCGCTCGGCCCCCCCGGGACGCGCAGCCTCCCGCTCCACCATCCCGGCACTCCGGGGGTCTCACCCAGGTCTGCAGCAGCTCCCACTCCCCAGGTGGGGACCCGCCTGAGCCCTGACAAGGCGCCTGCACCAGAGACCAGCTCCTGCTTACGTTGAAAGGGTTTGTTTTTAAAAATAAAACGTTTCAGTCTGAGAGCATCTCCATTAAAAACCGCACGGGAGGGGAAAGTCAAGGGGCACTGACTGCACTCGGGCATTGCCGCGGTGCAGGATGCGGCCGTCGGAGTCAGCCCTGGCTCCAGCCCGGGCGATTGGATTGCTGCGGAGGTGCAGCAGTGCCGGGTGTGCCGGGTGTGCCAGCTCCCAGCCCTGCCCTGCAGCCAACACCATCATCTCAGAATCTTGGTCCCAACGACTTCTGCAAAAAAGACTTTTCCAGCACCTAGAGAGTGCAAACACATGTGCACACATTCACTGACTCACACACTCACAATGCCAAGGCCCCGCAGTGCCCTGGGCTCCCCCCACACCACATCCCACCGACCCCGGGCCCTCTCCTCCATGGGGCTGAGCCAGGTCCTGCCAGCACAGCCACGAGCAGCAGCACTGGGTGCAGCACAGGCAGCTGCCCCCCACTCCTTGCTGAGGGATCCGGGGGTGTTGCAGGGGCACATGGTGGGCGCTGGGTGTGTGAGAGGTGACACTGTCCACTCCCCGGTGCTGGAGCATCCGCCGCCTTCCCGCTGCCCTGGGGCCTCGGGGCTCCCATGGGAACTGGCCAGGCTCCTCTCTAGAAACAGGGTCTTTATTTCCTTGCTCAGAAAAATAGATTAATTTCCAAAGTTAAAAAAGAGTTTAAAAAGAAGGAATGACGGAAGTGAAGGCTGGAATGTGGCTGGCAGTGTGGCTGTACACGAGATGGTGCGGACGGGGCCAGTGCCGTCCCCCTCAGTAGCTCTCCTCCTCCTCACGGTAGTAGTGGTACCCAGGGGGGTCCCCGCCCAGGTCACCAGCAGCGTTGGCCACCTCGCCCTGGCTGCCCTGTGGGCAGTACTTGGGGTCATAGATCTGGCGGCCGAGGCCAAAGACCTGCCCGCTCTGGTTGGCGCCCTGGTTGGAGCCCATCTGCAGTGACATGGAGGAGTTGTCGCACTTCTCTGTCCCCATCTTGGCGTCGTAGATGTGTCTCCTGGTGCCGGGAGCTGTCATGCCCACCTGGAAGGGAGGACAGGATGGAGCAGGGCTCAGCTGTGGTCCCCCCCACACCCTCCCAGCCCGGCACAGGCGCTCACCTGGCTGGCACACTTGTTGGTGCCCATCTGCAGGCTGATGGTGGAGTGGTCCATAGGTGGCAGGATCTGGTTCTTGGGGTCGTAGAGGTGCCTCCGGGTGCCGTAGGCCGTCATGCCCGACTGGCTGGCGCACTTGTTCGTGCCCATCTGACAAAGGGGTCTGGTGAGGAGCACGTGCTGCCCCACACGTGCCCCTTCTCCCCTCTCCCCATCACCCCCAGCCCAGGGGGCACAGCCAGAATTCCCCAACCCCCCCCAGGCCACTGAGTGCCGGACACGGAGCCACTATGGTCCCAGATCCCAAGAACACCTGAGGCACCTCGAGCCTCGGGTTCTTCCAGCTGTGCTTGGAGCCGTGACAGTGCTGAGGATTTGACAGAACTGGGCACCCCTCTCCCAGTCCCCCACCCCTGGGACCCCACAGGGCAACCCACCTGCAGCCCAATCACACACTGCCCAGCCTTCATCTTGGCCTCGTCAAAATTCCTCTGCTGCTTCTCCGAGTACTTCACACCGATGTCCACTCCGCTCTGCAGCCCCTTTGTCTTGGCCTGCCAGGAGTGGTGGTGAGGAGGGATGGGGGTCCCAGTCCCCCCATCCTCTTCCTGGACAGGGGGAGTCACAGGGTCCCATGGGCACCACCCCAGGCTGTGGGTCCCCGCAGGACAGTGCCCCTTCCCAAGCTGCTCGTCCCCCTGTGCTCACCATTCCCGCCAGTGCCAGCAGTGACACCTGCACCTGGGTCAGGTTCCCACTCTCAAAAAGGTCGTTGGCTTCGAAGAGGTCCACGGGGTTCATGCCGTAGCTGGCCATGGCCTTGATGAAGTTGGAGAGGTTCTCGAGCTGCAGGGAGGGGGAGAGGGGTGAGCCCCAGTGGGTGGTGGCAGAGGGACAGCGGGTGGGTGGCACCAGGGCTGCACTTACCTGGTGCCAGTTCTGAGCCGAGCGGTTGATCTTCCTCACCGAGTTGGGCTGCAGCTTGTTCATGAGCCTGGAGGGAGGCAGGGGGATGTGGGGCTGCGGCAGGCAGAGCCCCAAGGGGCTGCAGGGCATGGGCCCCTTTCAGGAGGATCCAGCCCAGGCCTCCCCATGGGATGCAATTCCTTGCCCAGGTCCCTGTTGGTCCTCAGGGCTCTCCGCAGACAGAGACCCTTTGGGGGTGACCCAGCAGGTCCCACTGGCGCGGATCCAGCCCACCCTTTCCACCCCAAAGGCTGGTGGGGGTCCCCTGGAGGGCTGGTGTTCCCCATCCCCACCCAATCTGGGACTCACTCGCAGAGGATCACCCCGTCCTTCAGCCCCTTCTGGAAATCGGGCCCGATCTGCTGCCCCGTGACGCTCTCGATCCACGTCCGCAGCTCGACCTCCTTCTGTGGGTCATACTTCTGGGCAAGCTGGAGGGGGTGGGTGAGGGCAGCTCAGGCACAGCCCTGTGTGCACCCCAAACCCCTCAAGGGAACAGTTCCCCCCTCCCCAGGATGGGAATGGGGACAGGAGGATGATGCTGCCATCAGACACAGCAGCTTCTGAACCATTCCAAGAGGATGAGGAGGAATTGCCTGTGGGGGCCAGGGGGAAGTGCCCCCTCCATGGGTCTGTCCCTCCCTGTCCCCTGGAGCCTGCGGGAGCCCAGCTCCAATCCCTGAGGGTCCAAGCCACGAGATGCTCTCCCTTCCGGCAAAGCCCGAGAGCCGCGCAGATTCCTCGGTCACCACGGCTATGCCAGGAATGTGGACGCCTCCTCCCAAATGGAGACCAGCTGCCAGGGCCGGCAGCATCTCCGCCAGCGCTGCCTCGGCCCTGGCCCATGAGGCAAGAGAAAGGCATCCTGACCTGGGGTGGAAAGAGCCTGGAACCCCCAAGTGCTGTCCTACCTCAGCCCCATCCCTCCAGTGCTCAGCCAGCACCCAGAGGTGGCCTCAGGGCACCCACCAACCTCTCGCCCATCCAGTCCTCTCCTGGTCCTGTTATGTGGTGGGGCCATGAGTCCCCTCCTCCTGGACAAAGGGAGACACTGGAACGGGCACAGTCCAGCCCTGCTGTGTGGTGGAGAGATGCTCTGGCCTCAAAGGGGAACTTGACCGATGCAGGACCTTGGGTCACACAGCACGTGTGTCCCAGCCAGGGGATTCCACAGTCCCACAAGATGATTTTCTGGGGCACGGGCAGCTGGAGACAGTTCCTCTTCCCTCCCCATGGCCACCGTGAGGGTTTCCCAGGGCACAGGAGCAGGCAGAGGGGACCAGCCCCAGAGAGATCCCACTGCAGCCCACTTTGCAAGGGATTGCACAGACTGGGAGCACGCCACTAGTTTAACTGGTTCCCAGTTGGTGATGTCACCTCCAGCAGACACACTGGGGCAGTCAGACTGGCTCATGTCTTGCTGAATCAACCCAAAGCACCAGGAGCACATGGTGGGGAGGCTCCGGCGCGTGTCATCCGTTCAGCGCCAGGGCAGCCCAGCCCCAGGCAGGCCAGGGCCCGTCCGCTCCTTATGAAACGTAAATCCCCTGCAAGGCTGGGTAAGGAGCCACAGCCACCACGTCCCTGCAGCCACGACCACGGCAGCCACGCGCCCACCACCACTTGGCCCTTCTTCTGCCTGCCCTGGCCCCATCCAGGCAGCTCCCGTGTCCCCGGGCAGCACACAGCCACACAGGCCACAGGCCACCAGCCCTGGGGTGACCACAGCTCAATCTCTGATCGCCTGGGGTTGGGCACAGCCCAGCACTTCGGCCACTGCTGGTGCCACCTACAGCCTGGGGCAGCTGTGTCCCCCCGGCCCAGCAGGACCCCTGTGAGCTCTCGAGGAGGCAGGAGGGTGCTGGCAGCTGCCTGCACCCCACAGCACACAGCTCCCTCCTCGGGGTGCAAACAGACCGCCCAGAGGCTCCCGTTCCCCTTTTCCCTTCCGGCCCCGGGCAGAGTCACCGGGGTCACCAGCCCCATTCCCAGCGAAGGCCGCGGAGCATCCGCGGGGGATGCGCGACTGCGGGGCAGCAGAAAGTGAAGCTGGTCCGGAGCCGCGGGGTTTGCCGGGAGCGGCGGGGCAAGAGCGGCCACTGCACTGGGACGCCTCCCAGCCCCGGTCCCCCCAAGACACTTCCCTGGGACCCTGCCGGCAGGCTCAGGGCACTCCGAGACCGGGAGCCCAGCCCTGGCATCCCCACCCCTCAGAGACCCCGGTACATCGGGACCCTCAGTTCCGCATTCTCTCGGGAACCCCTGGCTCTCCATCCTCCCGGGAACCCCCGACTTCTCCACTCTCCGTCCCCGGTGGCACCGGGCCCCCTCCGGCTCCGCATTCCAGGGGCGCACCAGGACTCTCTGGTTCTCCGGAACCCCGGGATGAAACCGGGACCCCCAACGGCACCGGGATGCCCGGCTCTCCCAGACCTCCAGGAGCACCGGCAGCCGCAGCGCCTGCAGGCCCCAGTAACCCCCAGCCCCCGACTTGCCCCCATCCCGTGGTCCCGGTCCCCCCGGTTCCCGCCGCGGCTCACCCGGTTCTTGACTTCGGCGGAGAGGCCGTAGGACGGGCCCTTGTTGAACTGGGAGCTGCTCATGGCGGGGCGCGGAGCCGGTACCGGAGCGGGGCGCGGGCAGCGGAGCCGGTACCGGAGCGGGGCCGGGCGGGGCGGGGGCGCGGCCGGGCCCGGCCCCCCCGCGCTGATTGGACGGGGCCGAAATGCCCAAATAAGGGCAGGAGCGGCCGGACCGTGATGTGGCTCCGAACCCCAACATTGGGACCCAGGGGGACCCCGGGAGAACCGGGGGGCGCCAGGAGGCACCGGGAGCCCGGGGAAGCCCGGGGCCGGGGCTGGAGCCGTCCCGGGCACACGGGTACACCCACGCACCCACCCCCGGGCACACCCACGCACCCACGGGCACACCCCCGGGCACATACACGCACCCACGGGCACACGCGTGTGCATCGTCGTACTCACTCGCGTGCACGGGTGAGCGCACCCCGACCCCTGGGCACGCGTTGTGCACCCACACACACACACACACACACGCACCCCCGACCCACGGGCGCTCCCCTGCACACGCACACTCGGTCACTCACGCACACAAGCGCGCACCTGCCTGCCCGCACCCACGGTCACGCGCACACGCGGGGCACACGAACGCGTTCCTCCGCCCCCGCTCCTCCGCCCCCGCACCCCCCGCCCCTCCACCCACCCACCCGCGCCGCAGTCCCGCTCCCCTCGCCCCGACCCCCGCCCCTGCCCGTGTCCCCCCCGGGGTCGGCAGATGGCCCACGCGAGACCGGCCCGGCCCGCGGGGGGTTCCCGGGAAAAAGCGGAGTGTCTTCCCCGTCCCGCGGGGCCGGCAGCCGTCCAGGGCAGCCCACAGGCAGCGGCCGGGGGTCCCCACGGGGCCCGTCCCATCCTGTCCCTCTCCAGGAATTTATTGGCCGCCTCTCCTGTTTTCCCGTTGTGGGGTCCCATTGCCCCGCGGGTGGGGGAGTCACGGGGGCGAGGGGCAGGGCAGTGGCTCCGGGGGACCGGTCCCGGCACCACCACCGAGCCCACGGAGGGACAGAGCCGGGAGCGTCCCACGGGTGGGCGCCCAGAGCCCCCCATCCCATTCACCCCCACACCTGGGGCCTCCAGCGGGATGGACAGATGGACACCCCCAAAACAGGGTAAAACCTCCCAGAGGGCGGGGGTCCCACAGGGGCCAGCACCGGTCCCGCAGAGTGGGGCTCAGGCCCCCACCCCTCTCTAAGCCTTGGGCTGCAGCACTGAAACCCCCCAAAGCCCCCAACGAGCCCACCACCCCCAGGAGTGCCGGCGTCCACCTGCCCCCCCGTGACCCCACAGGGCAGCCGGCGTCCACCTGCCCCCCCGTGACCCCCCAGGGCAGCCGGGGTGCCCCTGCCCCTCCATGACCCCGCAGGGTGCCCCTGCCCCCGGCCTCGCGCCGGGGTGCGCGTTCGGCTTTTCCTGTTTCAGGTCGGGCTGCGAAGCCGATGAGGAAACGAGGCGGCGTCACACGCGCCCTCCTGACACTGCGCCCCGCGAATGTGGCCGGCGCCGTGAGCAGCCGGCACGGCCGCCGGGCCGAACGAGGGGCTGAGGGCAGCGGCTCGGCCCCCGGGAACCATGTTCTCCCGGAAGAAACGGGAGCTGATTAAAACCCCCTCCATCTCCAAGAAGAGCCGGGCGGGAAGCCCCGTCCCACAGACCCTGCCGGTGAGTGTCCCCCGGTACCTCTGGCAGGGCGGGGGCCGTGGGTCCCTGGGGGCTATGGGGGCAACAGCACCCACGGAGCTGCTGGGAAGAGCCACGGGGTGGCAATGGGGACCTGGACACGTCCAGGAGGTCTGCGAGGAGGAGAAAGAAGACGAGGAAGGACCCAGCTCACTGGGCTGGGGGGACATTTTGCCCCAGATGAAGGGGACAGAGCAGCCGCCGAGGGAGGCGGGAGGGTAGGAAGGGACAAGGGAGGAAATGTGGGGCTGTGTCCGAGTGTTTGGAGAGGACAGAGAGATTCCCAAACCTCCCTGGGGACACTGGGCTCAGGCAGCTCAGCTCTGCCATGTATTTATTTATTGACGTGCGGACCCCCCCGGTGCCGGAGGGGCCGGGAGGAAGCGCCTCACCTCCGTGGGGCCGGACGGCGGCCGGGGCTCCCCGTCGCACCCCGCACCGCCCGCCCCGCCCCTGCGCCCCAGCCCGGGTGCGTGGGGCGAGACGGGGCTGGCACGATGCGGCCGTCGGGGCTCCGGAGCCCACCCGCGGCTCCTTAGCGGGGGGCACCCGCCCCCAGCCCCGTCCCGACCCCCCCGGAGAGGGGCCTATGGGTGGCGGCTGGCGGGATGCTCGGCCGGGCCGCGGGCAGGAACAGCTACAGCCCCTGGGCGGCGGCGGGCAGAGCCCACCCGCCCCAGCGCTCCCTGGACTCGCTGCCCTGCGCGCCCGCCGTGCGACTGACGGTACGGCCGGGGCGCCCTGGGGCGCCGGGGGGAGGGCCGGGAGGGTACCGGGGCCACTGCACCCCGGGGGGAACGGGGACGGGGCCGGGTCGGCCCCAGGCGTTTTGGGGTGGGGCCCTTTGGGTGCCCCTGCAGCCCCGTGGTGGTCTGGCCCCCCCCCCGTGGGGATGAGCTCCCCGTCTACCCTCGCCCACGGAAGCCTCGTGCTCTCGGCGCTCCGTGTCTGCCGGAGACGCTTCCGGCAGCGCCCGGCCGGGGATGCTGAGACCCCGCACGCTCGTGTCACACTCGGGGGTCCCTGATGGGAGCTGCTGAGTGGGCTGGGGGCTGCAGGGTCCCCTCCCCATGCTCACAGACCCTTGCTGGGTGCGTGATCCCCAAGCCATGCACGGTCCTGGACAGTGCTGGTACCAACCCCTCCCTCGGGGCAATATTGCCCCTGGAAACTGGGGACTTCCTCCATCTGTAAAATACTTGCCAAACCCCCAACAGTGGCCTGGGAGGTGTCCCCGTCCCTGCCCCCTCCCCCAGCATGGGACCAGCTGAAAAAGAGGAAGGGACGTGTGGGCTGGATCCTGCTGCTGTTTGGCTGTGCTGGGGTCCCCAGTCCACTGGGATGGGCAGTCCCAGCACGGTGGGTGCTGGGGTGGACAAGCAGCGTCACCCACACAGTCACTGTGTGCCCCCATGACAAACACAGAGCCAGAGGGACTGGTGGGACCCTGCCCAGGCCTGGCCCAGACCCTCCCTGCTCTGTCTTTGCCCAGTGGGGTCCCAAGACTGTCTCCAAGGTCCCCAAAGGGGATGCCTGACTGGGGAAACTGAGGCATGGTGCAGCTGCAGGGTCCGGCACCAGCCCCTCAAGACACCGCCCCGTCCCCCAAGCTGGTGGCGTGGCGAGTCCTGGGGTGCTGCCCTCTCCCTGTGCCCTCACACTCATCCCCTCTCCCCAGGACCTCTCCCGCAAGGATTGCCTGGAGGCACCAGGCTCCAGCCTGGGGGACCTGCCCGCGGCCAGCGCCAAGCTCAGCACCAGCCCCAGCACCGTGGGCACCCTGAAGCGCCCCACCAGCCTCAGCCGCCATGCCAGCGCCGCCAGCTTCCCCCTACCTGCGGCCCCCCGCCCCATGGCCAAGGGGCACAAGACCCCCACATCCTACAGCCCCATGGAGGGCGGGGAGGGTCCCTTCATCGACCCCGAGGACATCTCCCAGCTGCTGGCGGACGTCGCCCGCTTCGCCGACGCCCTGGAGAAGCTGCGGGACGTGGTGCTGCGCGACGGTGAGTTGGGCACGGCCGCGGTGCTGCCAGCCTGGGCTGCCCACCCGGTGCCAAACACCCGGGTCACAGCGCTGCAGGGCACCCCAGGGACAGACCCCCCCGTGGGTGGGGGTTCTCTGCTTGGGCCAGAGGCCAGCAGGACCCGCAGGGGGCTGTGGAGCTGCGGGCAGAAGTGGTGGGTGGGTGGTGGGTGAGTGGCTGCTGGAGCTCAGAGCCAGGATAACGCGGCTTCCTGCCGCGAGCTATTTTCATCCGCCCGTTTTCCTGTTTACAGTGCAGCGGTGCCAGCCGCCTGCCAGGGCCCCCTGAGCCCTGCAGGGTGCTGGGCATGGCCCCCCGGGCCCCCAACCCACCAGGGCGGCCGTCAGGATGGGGCTGGGTGGTCTGCGGGCCCACGAGCGCCTGTCCCTGCCCAAGGGGGCACAGGGGATGCATCGATCCCATGGTGTAGGGGGCACATGACACCCTGTTCTCAGCCCTGGTTTTGCAGAAACCCCTTCCTGACCCCGAGCTGGGGGCTGGGTTGGGCAGGGGGCTTTGCCTGGCTGGGCAGTGAGTGCCAATCCCCCATCCCAGCACCTCCCTGTGCAAGGCTCCTCACCTCCTAACCAGGCTGCCAGTGCCCAACCCTGTCCCGTGCCGACCAGGCCAGACCCCCAGGCTGGCAGCTGGAGCCCACGGAGGGGACAGTCCTGGGGAAGGACCTGTAGGATGCAGTGAGCCGGGCTGGCACGATGGCAGGACAGACCTGCCACATCCCTCCCACTGGGGAGCGTCCATCCGGGAGGAGGGAGGGAAGGAAACGAGGAGGAAATTCCCAAACTGCTTTCAAGGGAAAAAGTTACTACTGCGGAAAAAATGCCTCAAAGGTTGGGCTTCCCCTCCGGCCACCACTGGGCTGGGCAGGAGACACACGGCCAGGGCTGTGGGGAGGGGCTGGACGGGCCATGCTGGGCTTGGGAAACCCCAAGGCCAAGGGGATGGGCTGCATGGTGTGGGAGATGGCAGGACCCTGCCTGGCATGTGGCTGGGAGGTAAATGGGACTGGGATGTGGGACAGGATCACAGAACGGGGATGCAGGGCAGGGACACGGGGCAGGGACACGGGGCAGGGACACAGGGCAGGGACACAGGGCTCAGCCCCCCTCTCTTGCAGACCCCAAGGAGCCCCAGCGGCCGCTGGCCCACGAGTGCTTGGGTGAAACCCTGCGCATCCTGCGCCAGGTCATCAACAAGTACCCACTGCTCAACACCCTGGAGACCCTGACAGCTGCTGGGACCCTCATCTCCAAAGTCAAGGGTGAGACAGGGGCTGGAAGCTCTGTCCCACTCCCCTCTTGCCCCATGTCAGGGTGCGGGGCTGGGGAGCCCACGGGGGGTTTGCCAGGAGCGGAGCTGCCCCATGGGCTG